AATATCGTACTTATCGTATTTATGTCCTTCAACTCAAATTATTTCTGAAACTAATGGGTTTAGCCATATGACATGTTTCATAATTGTTGTTTAGAATCTCTAGAGGAATTAGAAAATGTAATTAAAAAAGGATCATTCCATTAAAAAAAAAATGAAGTTTTGTGTAGCACAACTTTTTGGGCCACCCTGTATAAATACATAAGTCCTATTTCAATAGATTTTATTAGGACCTTCAACTTTTATACAGGAAGTTTTTTTATATTGTGCACTATTTTCAAAATAATTGACTGTTCCGGGACTTTTTACACACTGTGTATACGCTTATAGAACAGGTAGTTATAATAATTACACTAAATAATGAATTATTGTTTTGAGGTGAAAAAGGTGTTCATGATTTAAAAATATTGTACCTAACGTAGTTACAAGGCTTTTTGATTGTATCATTCAATTTACATACTTTGAGACAGTGTAGAGGTGCCTGCATTGCATCAATTTAGGACTGTTTATTTTTGTATTGAAAGGTGTTGGATTAGGGATTAGAAAACATGTACCATTCTAATTGGAAATGATAACTGTTTATCTTCTCATTAATAAAGTATAATTATTAACGTATAACCATAAATCAGTTTGTTTCTCTCTCTTGCAAATACCATCTAACCTAAATAATAAAGTACTTGGCGCGGATGCTACATACATACGACACCATATTTCGATTACATGTCTATTTCCATAAAACTCACTCAACTTATTGGGCTGTCTCAAAGTTGTGCAGCGCTTTCAATCAAAGGTGCATTTGTGGTGGGTAAAAATATATTTTCTGTTAGAGTGCGAATTCGTTTATAAAAGTTATCTTTGGTAAAACGTTTATGTTGTCACTGACACCTGAAAATTGCCACATAATATCCATTCACTAGAGAATTTATATTGAAAATCCTGTCGAAGTAAATATTCTATCAACCTGTGTCTTCAAATTATTTATAAATTCTGCTCAGTTGTATAATTTTGTTAAGGAGAATCTCTAGTGAATTCCTTTTCTTTGTCGAAATGGATTGCAGCAGTCAACCACTGTTAAAGTAACTCGGCTTAGGATTTATCCTGAATAAAATTGATATAAAGCAAGACCCATTTTAATCTATCAACGTCTCCACTTACAATGGCCAAAATCCTAACAAATTCATCCCTTACTGTTTATCGTTCAATCGCATCTGGTCGTCAGGTTCCCAAATTTAAATTATGTAAATGTTTTTCTAATAAATATTCATCAGTGATGATATAATTAAATTATAATATTAATTAGTTGTTTTTTATAATTCATAAATATCTATCATATCAACGCAAGTTATGATTACATATTATGAATATTGGATATCATCAGAATCAACTTTACTGTAGGTAACCGATTCATTTGTAAAAATCACTGAAATCTTGTGTCTTTCTACCTAATTCGTTCTCTGAGGAATATCCTAATACTAGTCCATCAACTACAGAAGAAATTATGCCTAATTATGGCATACCAGTGACACAGACAGATGAGTTCCAACTAACTTAGTTTCCCAAAAGTTCACTAAAAGCAACACTGAAAGGCATATGTCAGCCAAACAGGTTTTATTATACACTGGGGATGCCGCTCGTTTTCTAGAATGGAAACTCGGAAATGGACAAAAATGGAATATTTGAACAAGAGAGTAGTCTGGAAAGTATGTTTTTGTGTGAAATAAGTTTATCCTATTACACAAATGTTTACTTTTCCAAAATATATGCGTTGATTAGGAAAAGAAAACAGAACATCGAGTGAGCTACAGTATACTTAGTTGCAAATTGTGCTGTACGTAAAGAAAACAATCAACTGAAATTTCATGTTGAAAAATCTCTACTTAGTTTGCAAATTAAAATATATGTGAATTAAATAAGATTGTTATTACAATAGATTTTTGCAACGTTCATATATGAAGTCCAGTGATATTATGCAAACACATCAAAACTTGAACTTTGTTTATTTCGATGCATATCAAATGAGGCAGAAGTTTGATGATATTCATATTTTAAAACGCAAGCATATTCAAATCAATATAAGATCAAGCCCTTATAATTCATTAGGAAGTAACTGCTTTAATTAGTTATGTTTCTTTCAAAGTTTTTGCCTTTAAAACGTCCGGTTTTAACCTATTCATGAAAACTTGACGTTAAAGTAGGAAATAACTCAGCAATTTCATGAAAAGTTTAAAGAAATTAATTCACGACTCCTGAAGTTTTTATTCAATAATTAAAATCAAGATGAATAATATAGTGGTTGGAAAATTAATTCGAGAAATTTTTGCCTTGGCTAAGATCTAAGCCCATAGGGTGTCAAATTATACTTCACTTTTCCAGGCAATTGAACCCATGTTTTCGAGATTGCTTGGACGTATTTTACTTGGCAATTTGTTAGAAGCCGTGGCAACCCAAATTTTTTCGAGTCATCAGCCTTAAGTTATTCTGTTCAATTTGAAGAGTAGTTTCACATTGTTTTGCATAGTTTGGGATATATATTTCATTGGACAAAAGGACATCTGTGATCAAAAATCCTATTGACGTGTAGGTACACTTGCTTTGAACATTCCACATATTTCTATTATTTTCGACAATCGTCTATGTAATTTGAAGTTAGATGAAAATATAATCCCAGGCCCCACGTTGGGCGCCTAATATGTAACGGGTATCGAAGGGAACTCGAGCACTATGCACTACACATTGTTTTTCGATGTTTTTATTTAACAATTCAACTGGCAAAAATAAAAAGTCGGCAAAATAATAGCAAAATTACTGATAATCAGACTGATAATGAACTTGATCGGGGAAACCATGGGGAAACTGACTGACTGAAACTTGTCAGACATGGTAGTGGCTATGGCTACGGCAACAATAGTGGCTATGGCGTCGCAAGTTTAGGCGTTACATTCTACCCCTTTGAAACTTGCACCGTCTCGCCAAATTTTCAACAAAATGGCAGCAAATATCCAGTTAAGTTCTCCAAAATTTTGTAGAGGGCGCGAGTGAACTTGGTGTGCTTTGAATTTTGGCGGTAAATGTCAATAGTTTTTAACCGTTTTAATGAGTAGAAGGAAAGATGACTACATATGAACAATGAAAAGTGAGTATGTTAAAATGTCTCCCAAAACGTTCAGTGGCCCTTGAAAAATATTTTCAAAAGTGTCAGCGTCAGCTTCTCTTGAAACTACACATCAAACTTGACTTTCGAGGTTAAAATTACATTCGATTATTCACGCGCCAAAATTTGAAGAGCTCCAAGTACAGAAGCACCCTCATCAACTCAACTGTCAATATTACATGCCATTAGACATCGTCAAGAAACTTTTTGGGTCGTCGAACCCTTGAAGTCCTTCTACCAGGTGGACGACCTCTATGTCGAATAGTCCTAACAGGAACTAGATCTTCGTCACCTATATACTTTGCTGAGAGCTGATGAATGGTATGTCCCCACCGGACGGAGACACAGGAAACTGTAATGTGGGTACAAAATGGAGGAAAAACTTGGACACACAGGAAACTGTAATGTCGGCACAAAAAGGGAGGACAAACTTGGACATACAAGAAACTATAATGTCGGTTTGTGTGGAATATTCCAGAAATTGTGGGAACAATATCTGAATGTGGCAAAACTTACACAATTCAGTCAATTAATGCACATTTACACCAATAGTGTCTCGCGTTTTACAGTTCATTGATCTACAGTCACAACATTAGTCCAGAAAGTCATTGGGGTGGTGGTTCACTACAAAACTCCAGGCCCCCCGTTGGGCGCCAAATATGTAGCGGGTATCGAAGGGAACTCCAAAACTATTCCAATGTTTTGTCGGCACAGGAATGGAGGACAAACTTAGACACACAGGAAACTATAATGTCGGTCTGTGTGGAATATTCCAGAAATTGTGGAAACAATATCTGGATGTGGCAAAACTTACATAATTCAGTCAATTAATGCACATTTACACCGATAATGTCTCGCGTTTTATAGCTCATTGGTCTACAGTCACAAAATTAGTCCAGAAAGTTATTTGGGTGGTGGTTCACTACAAAACCCCAGGCCCCATGTTGGGCGCCAAATATGTAACGGGTATCGAAGAGATCTCCAACACTATACACTACACATTATTTTTCAATGTTTTTATTTGACTATTTAACTGGAAAAAATACAAAGTCTGCAAAATATAAGCAAAATTACTGATAATCAGACTGATAATGAACTTGATCGGGGAAACTGACTGACGGACGCTTGTCAGACATGGTAGTGGCTATGGCTACGGCAACGGTAGTGGCTATGGCGTCGCAAGTGTAGGCGTTACAGTGTATTTTTCATGATAATTTCCCTCCTATTTTAATAATTTCCTTTATGTCCGATTGACCAATAAAGTGCTATTTATAGAACAGTTTTGCGTCAATAAAGTAGCACTTTATTGTACTAGTAAAATAAAGTGCTACTTTATTTTACTAGTAAAATAAAGTGCTACTTTATTGCCTACCTGGACTACCTGACAAGTTGAAACAGGTCCTGATAACCTGCCAAGGTGAAACAGGTCCTGGCAACCTGCCAAGGTGAAACAGGTATACCTACGCAAATTTAACTTTTTCATTAATTTTTTTAATTTCTAACAAAAACCAGTCGTAATCGTACATAAAATCATGTAAATAACGCTTACATAAACAGGCTTTATTGACTCATTATTTAATAGCCTCGCTCGCAAGCTCGCTCGGCCATAAAATTATTCGTACAATAAAGCCTTACTTTATGTACTTGTTATATAAATAGTTATTATGCGCTTTTTTCATACTTCATACACTAAATTATTCTGAAATTGAAAAATTGAAAAATTGATAACTTATCCCGAATTGCTTAACGCGATTTTATTTCTGTCTAGTCTTTGCCAAAATACTGCAGCTTCTTTTCCTTTAATTTTATTGAAAATTATGCCACAGTACATAAATGAATTTTTCTTTTCTAGGAACATCTAGTTTACAACCAGACGAGAATTCATTATAGCAATAAACCAACCTTTGGACGATGTCATTTCTCAAGTCCGTGTAATGAACTTCGCGATGTGGAACTCCACCGATAGTCCCTCGATGGAACTCGACAATGCCTGGAATCTGACCGGCACCTACGCAGAACGAAATTTCAACCAGACTGCCCCAGCCACAAATAATACGTTCCCGAATATTCAAATTTACACTAGCAGGAACATTTGCATAATTCTAGTGTATATTATTTTGTTTCTAATTGCTGCTGTTGGTAACTTGACTGTTTTCATATCGTTGTTTCGGTCCAGGCATAGGAAATCTAGGATATCGTTGATGATACGCCATTTGACTGTGGCGGATTTGATAGTTACGTTTGTGATGATACCTATAGAGGTAAGAATTAATAAATTTCCAACCTTTACAAATGAAATTGCTATATATAAACTGCCACCTTATAAGGTAATTTTCGTGATGCAGCTCACTCTGTATGTAACCTAAATTTCAAAGCCCCAAACCATATTTCAATATTTTTTCATTGTATGTCAAATTACGATTCCCATCTGTGTGTCCAAATTCCTGGACAAGAAAACGAGAGATTGGATGTTATACCCCAAAATAAGGAACGGTACATTTCATTTGCCAAACATGTTTTGGTAGATAAATCAGATATTCCCTTAATAGTTAGGTTTGCGCACACCCCGGAAAAAGCAATGTCAAATTACGATTCCCATCTGTGTGTCCAGGAATTGGCTCAAGAAAACGAGAGATTGGATGTTATACCTCAAAATAAGGAACGGTATATTTCATTTGCCAAACATGTTTTGGTGGATAAATCAGACATTCCCTTAATAGTTAGGGTTGCGTACACCCCGGAAAAAGCAGCTTCGCTGTCTCCGCCTGAAAAGAGTTTTGGTATAGTTAGGTATTTTTAAAATTTTTGATATCACCCCTTTTTGGCCCTAGGGGTTGTGAGTTAGGTAATAGATAATGTCCAACTTGACTGTAAGTATTATGGGGCTATGGGCTGGAATGTTTTTGAATATATATACAGGGTGTCCCACGAGGTTTTTCCCAAATTATAACTTTGGAACGCATCATCGTATGTTCCACTGTATAATTATTTAACATTTTCTTTAACAAAGCCTTAACAAATATGGCATTGCCGATGTTGTTATTTAATTTTCTAACGAAAAATACCATAATATACCATGAGTTACATTAAGTTGACGTCACTCGACCGAAATTGAAGTGAATCTGGTGAAATTGGATGACAATGGTACAATCGGCACAAAAAGTTACCCAGATCCTAAAAATTTTAATTATATTGGATGACGCGTTCCGAAGTTATTACCTGGAAAAAACGTCGTGTGACACCCTGTATATGGAGTTAGTCGGCAGTGAAAATATCCATGCATGTTTATCATCGACAAAATATAAATGCAAGTCTGAGCTTGTTGTTATTTTTGCTAGAACGGAAACGCTTATCAGTTATAAGTAAAAATAACCGTGGAACATGATACCCCTGTTTGTTTCCACATTAAACGTCGGCGGCGCGATGACTCACGGATTTTCCTTATTTACCACTATGGCATCCTGTAATAGGACACATCGAATTTCACACCATGTACGCTAGATGTCGCCACCGATAACATAATGACTTTGAAAAATTTGGGGTTGGCCCGGGTCAAATCCCCAAAATTTCAGATCAAAGGCGCCGCCGATCTAGAGATTTTCCCACAGTATCGGAAAATTTCCCAGGCTCAGGTACCCCCATTACTACTATGTAGTAGTGATGCAGTAATAATGGGGGTATCTGAGCCTGGGAATTTTTTTCGATACCGTGGGAAAATCTCTAGATCGGCGGCGCCTTTGATCCTAAATTTCGGGGATTTGACCCGTGCTATGTTACCGGTCAAATCCCCGAAATTTCCCCCAAACCATATTTCAATATTTTTTCATTGTATGTCAAATTACGATTCTCATCTGTGTGTCCAGGAATTGGCTCAAGAAAACAAGAGATTCGATGTTATACCTCAAAATAAGGAATGGTACATTTCATTTGCCAAACATGTTTTGGTGGATAAATCAGACATTCCCTTAATAGTTAGGTTTGCGCACACCCCGGAAAAAGCAATGTCAAATTACGATTCCCATCTGTGTGTCCAGGAATTGGCTCAAGAATACGAGAGATTGGATGTTGTACCTCAAAATAAGGAACGGTACATTTCATTTGCCAAACATGTTTTGGTGGATAAATCAGACATTCCCTTAATAGTTAGGGTTGCGCACATCCCGGAAAAAGCAGCTTCGCTGTCTCCGCCTGAAAAGAGTTATGGTATAGTTAGGTATTTTTAAAACAGATAATGTCCACCTTGACTGAAAGTATTATGGGGCTATGAGCTGGACTGTTTTTAAATATATATATATATATATATAGTACAACGGTCGAAATTTGGTCGGCCGATTAGACACTCAGTCACCATATTGCAGCGAAAATTGTTGCTTGGTGTTGAAGTTTTGTCTTAGATGGCGCCACGATCAAATTTCGACCGTTGTACTATGTATATATTGCCTACAGGCACGAAACTTGGTTTCGTTTTCTTTGCTTTTCCTAGCCATACTGATGAGACCTGATAGGTCGAAACGCGTCTATGGATGGAAAAGCATAGAAAATCAAACCAAATATTTTCTTATATATATATATATATATATATATATATATATATATATATATATATATATATATATATATATATATATATATATATATATATATATATATATGTAGTTAGTCGGCAGTGAAAATATCCATGCATGTTTATCATCGACAAAATATAAATGCAAGTCTGAGCTTGTTGTTATTTTCGCTAGAACGGAAACGCTTATCAGTTATAAGTAAAAATCACCGTGAAACATGATACCCCTGTTTGTTTCCACATTAACCGTCGGCGGCGTGATGACTCACGAATTTTCCTTATTTACCACTACGTCATCCTGTAATAGGACACATCGAACTTCACACTATGTACGCTAGATGTCGCCACCGATAACATGATGAAGTCGAAAAATTTGGGGTTGGCCCGGGTCAAATTCCCGAAATTTCAGATCCAAGGCTGATCTAGAGATTTTCCCACTGTATCGAAAAATTTCCCACGCTCTGGTACCCCCATTACTACTATGTAGTAGTAATGCAGTAGTAATGGGGGTACCTGAGCCTGGGAAATTTTTTGATATCGTGGGAAAATCTCTAGATCGGTGGCGCCTTTGATCTGAAATTTCGGGGATTTGACCCGGGCCAATCCCATATTTTTCGACGTCATTATGTTATCGGTGGCGACATCTAGCGTACATAGTGTGAAGTTCGATGTGTCTTATTACAGGATGCCGTAGTGGTAAATAAGGAAAATTCATGAGTCATCACGCCGCCGACGTTTCTTGTGGAAACAAACAGGGGTATCATGTTTCACGGTTATTTTTACTTATACTACTATGTAGTAGTAATGCAGTAGTAATGGGGGTACCTGAGCCTGGGAAATGTTTCGATACCGTGGGAAAATCTCTAGATCGGCGGCGCCTTTGATCTGAAATTTCGGGGATTTGACCCGTGACATAGTGTGAAGTTTGATGTGTGCTGTACAGGATGCCGTAGTGGTAAAAAATGAAAATTTGTGAGTCATCGCGCCGCCGACGTTTAATGTGGAAACAAACAGTGGTATCATGTTTCACGGTTATTTTAACTTATAACTGATAAGCGTTTCTGTTCTAGCAAAAACAACAAGCTCAGACTTGCAATTATATTTTATCGATGATAATCATGTATGAATATTTTCACTGCCGACTAACTACATATATATATTTAAAAATTAAAAACATTCCATCCTATAGCCTCATAATACTTTTAGTCAAGTTGGACATTATTTATTACCTAACTAACAACCCTTAGGGCCAAAAAGGGGTGATATCAAAAATGTAGACCCGATGAAGAAGGTAAACAACGTGTAGTCTAGCTGAAGAAGGATGCAGCTCAATATAATTTTCTTCAAAATTGAATAAATAATGATTATAACTATGCAATGTTTTATAACAAAGCTTGTTTAGGTATTTAGAATAAATTGCTTCCAGGAAATATCTTCTATGCATTATTTTGCCATTTTACGAACCTATATTCCAGAGTCCTTGGTATAATATTTCTGATGAGATTCTCCAGAAAACAAGAAAACGAAGCTTAATAAGCTCTCTTCAAAAAATATTATGAAAACCCTACGTATATCATTCTCGTTTGAAATTTTGAAAAGTTATTAAAGCTTTCGCCAGTTTTTTTCGTGTAAGTGAAAAGCGAGGCCACAAAAATACCAGGAAATATCGAGGCTCTTTTTAATTAATTGAAATATTTTGTCCGAGTCAAAATGTGCAAGAATTTGAAGTAGGTAAGTTAAAAATTTCATTTGAAACTTTTTACATCGCTTGGAATGGAACTCGTATGTTGAACAATGTGAATTTCAAAAAATAATCTGCCAAAAGTACTTCAACTTTGGCTTGATACAAATTAAATAAAATTAAACGAAATTCTATTTTGGGGATTGAACAAACTTACCCTGTTCCATTTGCTTCTAAAACCAATTTAATGAATTTTCAATTAATTCAACTGCTGTGAAAATGCCAATTCATTTTGCCGAGTTAAATTAAAGATTCGAGTGGTACTTCCGAAAGCTTTTAAATTGAGTGCAACCAAATAAATAAGCTGACAATTTCCTACTTCAAGAATTTACCAAAAGCTTTAAGTAGTCTTGCCTGACTATAGGAATTAATTCCTCATAGGGCTTCTCTAAACAATTTCGAGTACAAACTTACCAACATAGAGTTTGTAATAAAGTTTACTTTGCATAGTAAATATTAGTAGATATATTTATGTAATAATTTATTTACACTTAACATTTAACTGTTGTTAAATTGTTTATCATCAAGCTCGCCTGAACATAACATTATTTTGTTTTCAAATTATAATAATTGATGCTTTCTGCTTTATAATCACCCAAAACAAGAGCAAATTTTAACAACTAAATCAAAATTTAAAAAATAAATTTTTCACGTTTTTTTTTCTATACTGCTTTCGATGTGGAAAATCGATACAATGTGCATTTCGAATAATTTACCGCTCACTGAGGCATTTTCCATTAACTCTTCCCATGATGATTTTTTTCTCATGTGGGCAAATTGGGCATACCGAAAATAACAACACGTGTCGTATCTGGTATATATTTTCACAGGGATATTTTATTTCATAGTTCACAGAAAGCACGTACAATATTAAATAAACTTTTTTTTTTTAAATTATTTATTACCATCCTCAGTTATTATTTTATTCATTATGTCACAACTGTCCAATTTCACAG